AGTGGGCACTTATCGCCTGTGGTTTTCCTAACTTTCGCCTGTCTCAATCCCAGGTATGTGAACTGTGCCCGGCATGATGAAGAGCAGAACCTGGTGGCCTTTCAGTATCACAGGCAGATTTTCTACCAAACCTGCCAGGTCGTCAGGCCGGGCTGTGAACTGCTGGTCTGGTACGGGGACGAGTACGGCCACCAGCTGGGCATCAAGTTGGGCCGAAAGTGGAAGCGAAAGCTTAGGGCAAGGACAGGTGGGCAGCTTGGCTCTTCTTCAAAATGGCAGGAAAAGAAAGGGTTCTTGGAAATGTGCCTGGCCCAACTCGTAGGGTAAAATCCAGTCTAAAATCAGTAGAATTTCAAATCAAATGCTTCAGAAATGAAGGATTCATTTAATACACGTTTGACTCTTAGGAACAATTTTGATATTTTTATTTTTGTTTGCATTTTTTATCCCCCAGCTGCATTTCAGATTAAAATCCATTTACAGTCAATGGGACATAGGCACTATGTCTTCTCCAGTCTGAGTCTCACTTCCCGATGGAGACCCAGGCCCATAGGGGTCCTCATGCTTTTCAAATGTGAGACTCAGATTCAGGGCTATGCAGATGCTCCCTGTAACCATGACTCTATCCTCCCTCTATATTTGTGGGTCCCCAGGCTGGGTGTCTCCGGACTTCACAGATCCTTTCCCCATGTAGGACGTCACTGAGGACAATTCCACCTAAGTCAGCTCTCAACAGAGTAAAATAGCTGCTGACACTGTGTCATGTGATATGCTTTTTAAAAGACTAAATTCAGACAAGTACATTTGAGGTTCTAATTGGCTTTATTCATGAATCAGCAGAAACCCATGTAGCAACTACCAGGGCGCCCCAAAGATTGTACAAGATGGACGGCTTTTATACGAAGAAGGGTGGGCAAGGGAGCTATTAACAAAAGAAAGGATTATGTGTGAGTGGAGACATCTTTGGGGGAAGAGATTTTATCAGGCAGATTGCCTCTTCTTTCTATGGGGTGGGATGGAGAGGGTCCACAGACAACCTTTACTGGTATTGACCAGAAAACTCCAGACTGGTTGATGAAGATGGTGTCTGGGAGAGGCTGAGACTACAATTAGATCAGGTATTAAATCTAGGTTTGGTTTCATGGGCTTTTAGCACGAGTGGCACCAATTACGGCCTGTGGTTTTTCTCTTTAATGTGACTTACAAGAGAAGTCTATGGGGAAAGGTCACTGCAGTGCCATCTATATAAGGACTGAAACTGCCTCTGATGCTTCTTGAAAGTCCCTNAGAATTAAGGAAACACAGGTTATCTTTTAATATGTGGCTCTCATATTGAAGGCAACACCCAGGGAAGCATCAAGGAACAAACCTGCTTTGAAGGAATTGTCAGGAACAGCACATTTGCCGAAGGCAAGTGGCTCAGAGCAGGCCCAGAAACCAGCGTCCCCTCCTGGAGAAGCAAGTACCTCTGGAATGCGCTGTAGAATAAAATTGGGTAAGAGAAAAGAGTTTGAGGTCTTTAGTTCTTCTGAGTCCTCTGGAAAGGTTGATAAGTATGGACTAGGTATGTGGGGTGGACTTTGGGTTTAATCTGGACTAAGCTGAACCCTGAGGTTAGCACTGGGGCTCTGGGTAAATCTTATACATTCTCTGGGCTCCTGAAAGCTAATCTGTAAAGTGAAGATAAGGATACCTAGCTCATACATTGTTTGAAAGCATTAAGTTGCATTTAAAATAATTGACACATCCAAGTTGTCCAGTAAATCCGGCTATGATAATAAGGGACCATGCTTTATTGGTGTTGTATACCCAGGTCTTTGCTCAATGCCTAACACATAATGTGCCCTCAACAAATATTTTCTGAATGAGTAGATATGTGAATGAACCATTTTGTAAAGCAAAAGGCTTGGAAGTTAAGCCTGATAATGGGAAGATCTAGACACTAAAATTGAACCTGTAGTCAGTGTGGAGTCTGAGTCTCTGAACCAACAGTTAAGGAAGGAATACCAGAGTATACAGAAAGACAGGTGATAATTTGATAGGGGGACATTTTGTGTTTTCTGGCAAAACAGGGACTAGCACCCCAGAGCCCACGTCGTTCACCTACTCTTCTCCAACTTAGGACCTAGGAAAAAGAAGATTGAAGTGAAGATGTGTAGCCCGCAGGAAAGAAGGGGCCGTATGTACCAAGAGGCCAGCAAGCCCGAGGATGATGACTACCTGTGTAAGTGACCCTCACAAACAAGGCTGTTACATCTTTTTTATGCTAATTTTATTTCATTTTATTTTATTTATTTATTTATTATTATTATTATTTTATTATTATTATTATTTAGCTGAGTCATCCTGCCACCTTTTGGCAGATCAGTGGCAGCTCAGCTCGAGCCGGGCATTGAATCGCTGTTGCTCAGAGCTCAAACTCTTGAGCGAGCTCTTCACCAACTGAGCCACTCGGTCGGCCCCTTTTTTTTAAGAATTTTTTTTAAATGGGGAATTGGGGGAGAGGAACAGCGTTGAAGAATCAGGGGAAAGGAAACAGATAAGTTGCTTTCCTTTTGTTCTTCAGTCTAGTTGTGGAGGAAGTCACTTCACTGGCCTATGTTGGTATTATTATTGCGCTCTTCCCTGGTGAGGCAGTCACTTGCCAGCCTCTGGATGGCTGGTCATGCTGGCTGCAGGACACACACGGTAGCCCACGGCAACCCACTGCACCATGGGCTGCAGCCTACGCTGTCACTGGCGACTCACGGCAGCCCAGTTCCAGGTTGAGCTGTTGTTCAGCATCTTAGCTGTAGANCAGGCTGCAGGGGCATCTGAGGCTGCGGAGTGTGCAGACCCAGAGAGCCAGGCAGAGGTGGCACCTCATCCCCTCCCCTCTCCCCACTCCACTCCAGCTACACTGACCCCGATGGCCGCTGTCCTGGGCTCTTGTCATCTGGCCAGATGAAGGCGGGCACCTACAAGCTGTTCTTCAACACCGAGGGCTACTGGAGGAAAAGGGGGCAGGAGAGCTTCTACCCATATGTGGAGGTGAGGACCTCAAGCTGGCCAGAGGGTGGGGGCCTGTGGCTCACGGTGACCGTGGTGAGGTCCTGCAGTGGCCAGCGCCCCTCCCACTCTCCCAGGGTGGTGACAGGCAGGGACTTCACCTGCCTTGGGCCCCCAGAAGGAAGGTGGCCCTGCCTTGTCCCTGGTTCAGGCTGTGGGGGCAGGACCGTGGCTGACACAGCCCCCGTGGACAGAGGTGTTCACCAAGCCCATCCAGCTCACTGCGCCTGACTGTACTGCCTCCCACTTCACCCGGCCCTGTTCAGGGTGCACATCCCTTGGGGAACCCGGCAGGCCCAGGGACCCTCAAGACAATCTCCTTCTCTGGGGAGTACTCAGTCCCATCCCCAGCCCTCACCAGGTTTCAGTTCTCCACTATCGGGCTCTAGCTGGCCCGGGGGTTCCTGTTCCCCTTGATCCATCCCCTGACCCACAGTCTGGGCTGCTGGAGTCTCCCAGGCAGTGCTGGGACCAGGATACTGGTGAGCTGTGTGCAGGCCCCTCACTGTCTTCTGGTGCCTCCTTGGCCCTCACAGGTAGTTTTCACCATCACCAACGAGACCCACAAGTTCCACGTCCCCCTGCTGCTGAGCCCCTGGTCCTACACCACGTACCGCGGGAGTTGACCACCAGCCGGCCTCGAGCACCAATCCCTTCACCGTGGCCCCTAACCCACCCCCAGCCCTCCACAGTGGGTTCCATGCTCGTCATGGGGCCTCAGGCCCCACTCTCTGTGGGGGGTTCTGGCCCCTCATTTCCCAGTGGCAACTGTGACTTGGGCATCAATAAAGTCGGTGCTGGCATCTGCACAGCTGCTGCAGTCATTGGGCAGAGCTCGGCTGGTGCTGCCTGCCCGAGGTGGGAGGGCGTGTGGATGGGCAGCAGGGGAGGGAGCCGAAGGGCCACGGCCCTGACAGTGCTTCTCCCACAGCAGGCGACCGGACACGTTGCACAAGTGAAAAGCCTTCATTTGCAGAACAGACAAACCTAAGAAATGAAGGCCGGCTGTCCTGGGTGTGTAAAAGGGGGTGCCACCCAGCCAGAAGTCCAGTGCAGGGGCTACGTTGTCCAGGGGGATCCCAAAGGCCAGGAGCTTTGCTTTGTAGAAGGTCACTGGGGGTTGTGGGGACAGAGAAGTGTCAGAGGAGGTGCAGGGAACACAGCCAGCCTGACCCTCACTCAGGCCCACCCAGCCCTGAGGAAGGTGTGGGGGACGGGGGAACCGCCAAGCGAAGCTTTACCACGTTCTCACTCTAGGCCAGACGGGCCCCTAATCTCAGGATCAGTGGGGGACGCTGCCATCATCCCTATGTCACAGACGGGGAGACTGTGGATTCCTGAAAAGCTGAGCAAAGTCGGAGTGCAGGAGAAGTCACATGAACTATGTGGCTTCACACTGGGGGGGACACGCATGGTAACAAGCGGGATCACTTGGGGGTCCGTGCAGGGCAAACACCAGCAGCCCAAGCTGTGTGCTCATGTGTGGCGTCTGCGGCAACCGAGTCTGCACTAATTGGCGAATCGCTCCAGGCCCCGCCCCTGGGCTCCTCCACACCAGCTCCAGTGGTCTCCCTGCACAGGAGGACCATCACCTCACGCCCCCAGGCCCTTATCTTGCCCCTCACCCAGGCTCTAATCTCACGCCCCCAGGCTCCCACCTGGTGCCCCCATGCACTAATCTCCAGCCCGCCCTCCTACCCACCCCCTCGCTTTGCCTTGGGGCCAAGCAGCCAATGGCTGGGAGGATGGCAGGTTGTACCCAGGGGTAGGAGCCTAGGAGGGGCGCTCCCACATAGGGAGGGCCAGACTGTAACCCCCAACAGAGGAGTGGGAAGGGACCGGGTTCCTTCTGTTCCAAGTGTCAGTGGCCTCCTCCCTGCCCAAGGAGGGCCATGATTCAGATGTGGGTGTGGGCATTTACGGAGTGGGGAATGGCAGAGAGAATGGGCTCGCCACCACCCCATGGCAGGTGTCTCAGGTCCTTTGAAATGTTCAAGTGACAGCAGCAGGTTTAGAAACTTTGACTTCAGTTTCCGAAATTTCTACCTGAGCGCCGATTTTTATTTTCAGAGAAGAAATGGGTATAAAAGGAAAGAAAATCCCCGCACCAAGGTTTGGCACACCGTCTCTACCAACATCAACCACTGACGACCAGAGAGCTGCAGCAGCTTGAGCCAAGTGGGCCTTCAGACCTTCCTCCATGTGAGAGCAAATCCCAGAGTCAGAGAACTCCTGGGTTGGACTGGTTGTTTCCCACAGAAGATACTACTGGTGGAGAGGCCTGGTGGGGCCCAAAGTCCAACCCTTTCTCTTGTCACCAGCCTGCTCTCTTGTCAGGCAGAGGGGGGAAATTCTTCCTAATTACTTAGCCCGGAGTGGCTCCTTTTCTAATTTTCACATCTTCATGTGCGATTGCAGCAGTTCTGAGAGATGGCTCTCCTAAGCACTGGGCCGCTGAAATTTGAGCCTGGGTCTACCTTTACTAGAGTCTACCCTTTACTAGGTCTACCCTTTGTTACCTGTTCCTTGGGACAGGTCACACCTCTCAGGGTCTTTGTTTTGTGACTTGTAAAATTCCCCATTTTTAGAGCTCAGAACATTCTTTGCTTCCTAGTGAGCACGAAATGGGTGTTAACCAGAAAGACCTCTGCTGAGGCCTTTGCTCTGCNCCAGTTCCAGGTTGAGCTGTTGTTCAGCATCTTAGCTGTAGAGGGCAGTGTCACTGGCCCTCATATGTGGGATCCCAATCGGGGCCCTCTAGCATCCCAAGCCAGCTCTTAACCAACTTGCCACTCGGCCGGTGCAAGGCTATTACGTCTTGATACAATAGTGTCGGATGGTCATGTGGTTCCCGTCATTCCCGTCCTCTCGTGGCCTGGATTACAGGATTGAGGCTCAGTGATGTGACTGCCCATGCTGTCTCTGAAGCTCTCTATGTTCAGGAACATGCACCACACCTTCCCTAAACCCTGTTGCTCTCGCCTCCAGATTGCGAGAAATGTCGAATCTACTTCATTGACAGCTGTGCTACTCATGGGCCACCTACATTTGTAAAGGACAGTGCGGTGGACAAGGGGCACCCCGACCGCTCAGTCCTCACTCTGCCCCCTGGGCTGGTAATCAGACCCTCAGGCATCCCTGAGGCTGGGCTCGGAGTGTGGAACGAGGCGTCCGATTTGCCGCTGGGTCTGAACTTTGGCCCCTTTGAGGGCCATGTCACAGAAGATGAAGAGACGACTAAGAACGGATACACCTGGGAGGTGAGAAGCATCCACCTGTCCCCTGTCCCCTGTGGGTTGGGGGCCCACACCTACATGCTGGGACATACATGAGGACGGTACATTTAGTTCTATGTGCTGAGTGCAATTTGTGAGAACATGGCGCTCTCGTTTGAACACAGGAGGGTAAGTGGAAGCAGAGTGGTGCAGACAATGTGGAGTGCCTCCTCCGTGTGGGGCTCCTGCTGAGTGGACAGGTGGACTCTGGCGTGTGGATGGTGAGTGAGAGGCACATCATGTGGTCACAGCTGGCAGTGGGATCCATGCAGGCTGAAAGCGCCTGGATGACAGTAGAGTAGGATGATTCTTCTACTACCTTCCCACCAAAACAAAGCCTTTAACTTCTTTTCCTGAACCTCAGATCAAGAAAGGGGGAAACTGCTATGAGTATGTGGATGGAACGGACAAATCCCAGGCCAACTGGATGAGGTAAGGCTGGTCGGTCCCTGGGTTCTAGACAGGACACACATTGACCACAAGCCCCTAGTCCTCCCCTTCTCATCAAGCCTCCCTTGATGGTCCCCTTCAGCCCCCTGTTCCTCTTTTTTCTCCACACAGTGCTCTTTTGTACCAAGACTTTAGGAAAATGGAGATAAAATATAGCACATGTCCTCAAAATGTACATCTCTATAGTAGACAAACTTTGGGTCCTGGAAAAGACCTTGATGGACCTAGATTCACTGGGGACAGTGGATTCACTTTAATTTATCTAATGAACACTTATTTAGACAGTGGGATTNTCAAGGTGAGGGGAGACTGGTCTGTACCCTCTTCCTCCCCATTCAGCAACAGACCAAATTCCTAGCATGGCCGCCAGCCTCCAAGATGGCCCCCGAAATCCACCTCTGCCACCCACGTCCTTGTACCTTCTCTCCTTCAAAGGACAGGGCTGACCTGTGTGAACATCATGGAGAGCGATTCCCAGAGCTGTTGTAAAAAGGCATTTGGGCTTCAGCCTTGCTCCGCTGTCTCACACGGCCTCAGATCACCTTGTGGAGGGAGCAGGATGTTTACACACTCCTCCTGCCCAACTGTCAGCTGCTGGCAGCCAGTTCTCGGTTTGAAGAGGAGGCTCAGAGAAGTGAGTGCTGCCTGACGTCTGCAGTTGAGGGAGTCACCGGGCGGACCGTTCAGCCAAGAACCCAGAACAGCACAGAGTCCTCCACAGCTGGAGTCAGGCAGGCCTCTTGGGGCCTGAGCAGGGTAAACTGCTCTGAAACTCAGTAAATGTGTCTTTGACCCCCAGACCCAGCCCCGCCCCCCCGAGACCCGCCCCTTGAGCCCCTGTCCCACCCTCGAGACCCGCCCCTTGAGCCCCTGTCCTGTCCAGCACCTGCTCGAGTCCCACCCCATCATTCCGCCAGTCCCCTGGACACCATTTCCGGCCCCTGGAATAGCCTCAGTGGCCCCCACAGGTTTGTTGGCCCAGTTTGCCCAACTGTGCCCCCTCCTGAACGAAGTTCCCTGCAGCCCTACTGGCGGGCACCGAGGTGGACCTACCCTGCCCCCCCCCGGTTTGGTCAGACACTTTGTCTCCGGGTCTTGGGAGGTGACAGAAAAGAGACAGGGGCCAGCAGGGGGAGGTGCCCCAGGCCTTCCCTAACTCTGAGGGTGGCGGGCGTGGGGTGACCTCTGACCGCCTCGAGGTGTCCCGAATTAGCCAGGCATGAGCTCCGGGGCGTCCCGAGGCTGCGCATGCTCCAGCGACACCTGGGCTCCCCGGAGGTAGGGAGTCAGGCAAGGACCGGGGTTTCTGTCCCCTCGTCTGTCTGGGGCTAAGGTCCGGTGACCCATGGGCCAGGGGACAGAGAGCTGTGTTCTGGGAGAACAAGGAGACCGTGTCTGGCGTCCATACCAGCACTGACCAGCAGCAAAGAGTGGTGGAAAGGGAGGCCTCTGTGCCAGAGGTACCCTTCAGTGGCTGGGTGGAGCGCATGGGGGCCCAGTGGGGGCAGATGGGGGACAGGTCAGCTGGTTTATGAACTGTATTTCAGCGTGCTAACACCGCAGCCTCGCATGCTGATCATTAATTGCAGCCCCCCTCCCCCAAAGGGAGAGTTAGGGACTCTGCCCGGCTGGGGTTGTTTACTCTAAGGCTGGTGTGGACACCGCTTGGGCCCACTCGCTCATCCCTGCCACCATCTCGTGGCCCAGGACAGAGGCATGGAGCCAGTCCACAGCCCGAGGACCACACACGTGCTGGACACTGCCTCAGGGATCCCCGCCCAGGGCCTCTGCCTCTGGCTCTCCAGGCTCGAGGACCATGGCCAGCAATGGATGGAACTGAGGAAAAGGTAGGAGGGAGGGCTGGGGAAGGACTTGGGTCCAGACCACCACCCCTAAGCCAAGGCCAGCCCTGAGTTCTGGCTGGTACAAGCAGCAAGGCGAAGGATCCCAGCCAAGCAAGGAGGGCGACACTGAGGGCTGACAGCTGAGCTGCCCACTGCCCCACGGTCCCCTGCTGACTCCGGAGCCTGTTTCATCAGGCTGTGTAGTCCCTGCTGGCACAGCCTCACACCCCTGAGGGCTGGATTGCTTAAGGCCTGCGGTGGAAACTAAAAGGCCTCACTGTCACCATGTTTAACAGGCAGCTCGCTGAGCACTTCATTTCTCTTCCTTTTATTCTCCCTACACCCTGTGGGCGGGCACCATAATTACCCTTATGGGGAGACAGAGGCAGGAAGAGGCAAGGTAAAAGCTGGATCTCACACCACGCCCAGCCCCTTTCCCTTGCCCAGGCCTTGCTGGGGAGGCCCAGCCCAGGCTTGCGTTGGCATCATGGCACTAGGGTGGGCCCTGTGAGGGGGTCCCCAGACCCTCGATCTTGAAGGATACAGGCTCCTCTGCTGGTGGAAATCGGGGTTTGGACCCCAAAAGTTCAAGGCCTGAGGGTGTGGAGCTCGTACCCTCCCTGTTCAGCCCCCCACAAAAGTGGGGTCCAGGTCACATCTGAGGGTCAGCTGTGGTCTTGGAAGAACACATGGAGTCCTATGGGGGGTCATATGGACCCACTTCCAACCCCCCATCAACTGCTGGTACATGCCGCTCTTCCTAAGTGCAGTGTAGACCCTTGGAAGCACAGCTGGTGGGAACCAGGTGAGGTTNAGTGGGGCCGGTCTCAGCAGGACACAGAGCATACGGCCCAGGCAGCCTTGTCAACACCTGCCCTGACTCAAACTTTCTCTTTCGGCAGGAACAAAACCAAAGATCCATCCCTGTTCCTCCTGCTCTGTGGCCTTCTCCAGTAAGAAACTCCTCAGCCAGCATGTGGGCAGCAGTCACCCCTGTCAGGTCCTTCCAGGAACATCAGCAGGAAATCACCTGCAATCAGAGGAACCCTGCCCGGAGAATCTGATTCAGCATCAGGGGACACACTCAGGGGAGAAGCCCTATGTTTGCGGGGAGTGTGGGCGAGGCTTCAGTGAAAACTCAAATCTCCTCAGACACAAGAGGACACACTCTGGGGAGAAGCCCTATGTTTGTGGGGAGTGTGGTAAAGGCTTCAGTGTAAACTCAAACCTCCTCAGACACGAGAGGACACACTCAGGGGAGAAGCCCTATGTTTGCAGGGAGTGTGGGCGAGGCTTCAGTCAAACGTCACATCTCGTCATACACCAGAGGACACACTCAGGGGAGAAACCCTATGTTTGCAGGGAGTGTGGGCGAGCCTTCATTCGAACGTCACATCTCATCCTACACCAGAGGATACACTCAGGGGAGAAACTCTATGTTTGTACGCAGTGTGGGCAAAAGTTTACACAAAAATCAAGTCACAACAGACACCAGATGATACACTCAGGGGAGAAGCCTCATGTTTGCGGGGACTGTGGGCGAGGCTTCTGTGATAAGTCAAGTCTCGTCAGACACAAGAGGACACACTCAGGGGAGAAACCCTATGTTTGCAGGGAATGTGGGCGAGCCTTCAGTCGAATGTCATATCTCATCATACACCAGAGGACACACTCAGGGGAGAAACCCTACGTTTGCAGGGAGTGTGGGCAAGCCTTCAGTCGAACGACACATCTCAGCATACACCAGAGGACACACTCAGGGGAGAAGCCCTATGTTTGTACGCAGTGTGGGCAAAACTTTACACAAAAATCAAGTCACATCAGACACCAGAAGATACACTCAGGGGAGAAGCCTCATGTTTGCGGAGGAGTATGAGTGTCATTCGCATTAAGTCTCATGGCAACAGTCACAGGACAAATGTAGCCACCACACATTTGATACCCCAGCCTGAGGGGGCTTCAGAGGGAATCTTCTGACCCCTTACCCCCCAAGAGTGTAATGAGGACACAAATAACTGGTTAAGCAAATCCTCCACTTTCATGATGAGACATGAGTTAGATAAATAGCTGCTTAAGTGCTATGTGGATGTTACAACAATCTCCTCCATGGTTTCTTTGGCCTACTGTTCTAATAAATTTTGTTTCCATACAAATCTCAGGGCCACACACTTCATTCCCCTCTCACCACTGAAAGAAGAGGTGTCAGGAGGGCCACAGAGAACTCGCACGCTCAGCCACAGGAGCTCAACCCCGGAACGGCATGAGTCTGGAGTCACTGTAGTTAGTTTACTGCCCAGGGAGAGAAATCTGGGGTTTGAGGCAGACTCACGGGGGAAGGGCATTCCCTGGACTCCTGGGAAGTGTGTCCTTTTCTCCTAAGATTTCCCACTTCCTCCCCTGGCTTCCTTCTCTTGGCTCCTCTCCTGGTTTCCTAAACCTCTGCAGCCTCAGAGGTGAAAGCCAGGGAGGGACGTGTGCGTGTGTGTGTGTGTGTGCCTGGCTCTGTCTGGGCACTTGGTCTCCCTCACCCTTTCCTTGCTGTCCCTTGAGGGGTCAGCATCTCATGGTGCGAAGCATGTGGACTCCAGATTAGACCATAGTGGGTTTGACTCAGCTCTGCCCTCACCAGCTGTGTGACCTAGGGCAAGACGCTCAGCTTCTCTGTGCCTGTTTTCTAACCTATGCATGGGAATGGTGACTCTGTCCTTGTGGTCTGCCATCACAGCTGAGTCAGCACAGGCAGAATCTGGCTCAGAGGATGGCTGGGAACGTGTGTCTGTCCCTAAACACTGGTCAGTGCCCACGTCTTCTGGGTCTTCATGGTGGACATAGGAACGTAAGGAGAGGGTTCGGGCCTGGGAGACAGATTCACAGGTTGGGCGGTCACACTTTTCTCTGCATAGACTCGGCTGCCCTGAGAAGAAGGCGTGGGGTCAGGGGGCACCTCCCTCCGGGCCACTGCCCTTCCCACTGAGCCTGGCAGCCTCAGAGCATCCCTGGGCCCAGGCAAACAATACTAAGAATATTCCGAGACAAGGCACTTGCAGGCCTTGATGATGATTGACTGTGGGGACAGCACCTGCAGAAATTGGTCCCACTGTAAGTGGGTCTCTGAGGCCCTGCATGCCTCATGTGCGTGGCCCACCACACAGCACCTTCTGTAACACACCTAACTTGTACCTGGCCCCATGATGTTTAATGCACTTGTCACCTCCTTTAAATTCTTTTTTTTTAAGATTTTATTGAGGAATTGGGGAAGGGAAACAGACAAGTTGCTGTCCTTTTGTTCAGTCTAGTTGTGGAGGACGTCGCTTCACTGGCC